TACTACTTATTTTCATCAAAAAGTTACTCACCGGGAAATTCTTGTATCTTTGAAAATATTTCTTTTCAGTTGTACCAAAATTAATCTAATTAGTTAGGATTAGGTTAACTCAAATAATTTATGTGGTAATGTGAATTATTCCTAAACGTACTTATATCTAAACCAGTATGAAAAGTTCTTGTCTAGTTTCCTAAACATATTACTTTATTTAACAAATAGTAGACACTTTCAAAGTATCGACTAAATATCTCATTCAATAGAAATTTATCATCTCGTTCAGAAAATAATTTTATATTTCATGTAGCTATGAAAACTCATCATTTTGTTCTCTGAACTTCTGCGTTTCCGAATTTAATACGTATAACAAGAGTCAAACAGTACTGTTGCGACAAAAGTTGATAGTTTAGGAGAAGCATATTTAAACACATCATAAATTGAAAGATAACGGCCGCCATTTGGTGTTATCAGCTAAGAATTATTATAATAATTCATTGTCATGAGTGAAACTTTAAGAAAATAACGTGAAGTAGATAACAATATTAAAAGAATGAAATAAAACAGAAAAATGTTATATTCTCAGTTCCCAAACAGATATCATGAAATTGGTCAATTTTTTAAAAAACGTATCTACCAAATGTATACTACAGAAGCAGTAAGTATTATGGAGTACAGAATACATGTCCCATTCAATTTCTATACTCTTATTTCATGTCTCTTATTAATAAGGTAACTAATCTACCATTGGTTTAAAATCCATTGAAACATCTTTTTGTTTTAAATCTAACTTATCCATCTCATAAAATGAAAATAAAATCGAGGAGAAAATAGTGTAGCAAGTATAATAATTTCCTATTTGCTAAATTCACTTTGATAAATATAACTTGGTAAATGTATGATAATATGACTATACTATACCAAAATTACAGTTCATAATGGAGATTTACTACGCAATAGAATTAAAAGTATGAAAACTTTAAAAAAATTTACGTAGCACTCTGATGAACTAGTTCCTATGAGAAAGATATGAGATACGAATTAGAAATGGTACAATTATTTCATAAAGAATTTTTAAGTAATACAACGAAGAGAAATGAAGGTTAACTATGAGTATGTTTTGATTATTTCTTTGTTTAGTAGTAACAACTTTATAGTCATTTTATCTCAACACATGATATTCCTCTTTACTTAAGTTTATTCATTTGAAATTTTTGGCGATTATTTTCATGAGAAAACTACCGAGTAATTATCTTCGACCATTCCAGTATTTTATTAACTGATTGAGTCATTGTAGGGAAACACATCAACGAAATTTGTCATTGTACCATATATATTTAATGCTTTTGAAAAGCATATCAATCAACCAATCGAAATAAGGGGTCATTAGTTTGTTAGCGTTAGCTGATAGATAAATATTATAACTCGTAAGATGACTTATATAATTCGATCACCATACATGGTTTGACAAAATAATATTGCTTCCTTGTAACTAATCAACTATTAGAAGAATTTTAATCTTATAAGAGGTTTGTCATACCTTAAATAGCTCATCAGTAGCATTTCTCAACGTGAAACTTAGTGGTAGGCTTGAATGATGTTGTAGTGACTCACATTTATCACGAGAACACGACTGGTTTAACAAAAACAATTATTATTATAACCAACTGTACCAGTTATTGTTTTAATGTGCTTTTGTTTGACTGTGCTAATGACAGCTATATTGTACTTCCATTCTGATTCTTACACTTTGATTGTGACTTCGCGCGAATTCGGTTACGTTCTGCAACCAAGCTTGTATCCTGGCACGATCTCGGTATCTTTTCGATACCACGAGATCGCCAGCAAATATATCTCGGCTTGGTCCATTAACTGTCTTCTGATATTTGGCTTCTCGGGGATTTTATGGATTTATTTGGTTACGTTCAACCTTCGCCTTCTGATTTACTTGGCACGTGTTTCTTGGTAGCCGTGTTCATAGTTAACCTCAACTCGACACCACGCTACAATGTAATGTTAAATTGTTTTCAGTTTACTTGTTTATTTTTCACCATAGATTTTTTCTATTGAATTATACCCTGATAATTTAAATAAATCCATGTTTCGCCGATATTGACTACTAACTAGAACTCGTATTCCTAATATATTTAGCTAGTTATTAGTTTCAAATGACTGAAATGTTACTTCCAGCATGTATTTTGACAAACCAAACATTTAGTAATCAATATGCAGTAAATAAGTACTTATTGAAATCTAATTTGTATCACAATTAATGAATCCATCATTATTAATTTTCGAGTTATAAGACCTATTCTCTGAAAGTGGTAACATATGAAGTAACAATGGTATGTATATACACAGAAATATTATATATCTTAGAACGTATCGTAATTCATGATACACAAAAAGAGTATTAAGAACTTAATTAATTATAATATGTTTTCACTTAAAATATCTAATGTAAACATAACGATATGTATCACAGGAAAAAAGAGACGAGCAATAAACGCATCCACATCATTTGTGTTTCAGATAAATGATTGAAGTAGGAAGTCAACAGACTGTTTAGTAAGCGGATTTTATGATTGACTCTGTCTAATAATTAAACATGTTTGTATAGATCATGTCATCATTTCCTAAGAAATATATTCGTGTGAAAAATGACTGCACAGTAAACCAATAGAATATCGCTTAATTAGTTCAACAAAGGATTACAAATATTTTCATAAAGGTTAATATTTCCGTCTATATAAGAGTACAATGAAAAAGTGATCTAAGAATGCGTATGATAGAATTTTTCATTTTAAACAGTTAGTTCTTAAGAATAGTTCAAACAGTACTAGGAAGCTGTTAAGTAATGAGATTCATATTATTTAGTGTCTGCAATAAGCACTTATTATCAATACTTTTGTTAAATGGCATTGCAGTCCGAGACACTTTTGGAGTCAATGTCATTTTTTAAGTCTCTTTTCCTTTACATAGTATAATTATTCAACGTAGACGATTATGAAACTACAGAAGTAAATGATCTATTGCTACAAATTATCATTAATTATGATTATGAACATCTAGACTCATAGAAATGTGGATTTAATGCGTAGTCATGACCATAGACATAAAATTTCCAAGGATTCCAAGGTAAAGCACGATACTTGACCGGTTTCCCTTGGTTGGTAACCTAAATTCAGGCCATGAATAAAGCTAACTACTTACGTTCCTTTTTCCATCAAACAAATCTTATTTGTTTGTATGAAGCAATGGTACTTTTAATGATAACTTGTTTACTACACTGACTATATCTCCAGATTATATGAACATATGAATATGCACCACATGATGTGGATGCCCACATAAGTTATCGCGTCAATATTTATTTTGTATTAATACTTGACTGTTTGTATTATCATTACATTAACATCAAATTCTGTATTCATTTAAAACACGTATCCAAAAAGTAGTTTTATGTGTAACTTGATCTCCTATTTTAAAGATAGTGTCTAACTTGTTATATATCTTGGTTGTTAACTCAACTTTACTTCATTTTTATTAAGTGAATGTTCCCATCTAAAAAGCCCTCACATTATCCGAGATAATTCATTCTATTTACCCGCACAAAATAACCCAAGTATTCCCGTTAGTGGGTTAGTTCATTCTCTCGTGAATTTCAGAAACACCTCTTACTGCGCATTACCATATTTCGTATTATTTCCACGAAGTGAAGCCAACGTTAGAATCTGCAGAACGAATATGAAGGCTTTGTTTACGGAACTTGGCGAAGTCTAATTCAAAACGGATTTAATTGGGCATTCGATATCCATTAAGAGACAATGGCATATAAATATTGTTTGGAGACCTGCTACCATGGGAATGAACCTTCTGAAATCCATCCACTGAAAAATGGATTAAACTATTAGGTTGACGGCAGTAATATGCGTCAATTCTTTGTAACTAGACACTAGGACAATGTCAAACCACATACAAGTTATGACAGTCGTGAGCAAATAATGTGGAGGATTCCGAACACAAAGACATGTAATACATCGAATCACCCAGTTATAATCAAGTTTATTTTCAATTATAATATCAATGCCCTCTAATCAGACATGGTTTCGCTTTGAACTAAATTTCCTCAAAAGCTTGTATGTCGGAAGTTTTATCCTTAATCTTAGGGTGCTAAATAGTTGCTTCCCAAAAAATATCACTGATTAGGAATCATGGTCTCATGTTTATAGTAAATCATTCTTTATGACTCACATTTAGTGTCACTCATCGTATCAAACTAATTTTCCAGTCCATTACAATGGCATAAAATCATTTGGCACTGAATATACATATGGACATACGACAGTGGCACAGATCCACTTATTATTCATCAGCAATGCGCACTGCTGAGGAGTCCCATACCAGGACGAAATGGCCGTCCAGTGCTTCCAGGTTTTCAATGGTGGTCTAGCTTCAACTGACTCATGATTTCAACCTGTGAAATTTCTAAAATTCTCCACAAAACCCATTTCTAATTTACTTCAGCTTCTTGTCAATGATAGCGCCTTAGTTCTTCTTTAGTGGCACAAAAATGTGGTAAATTGAACTAAAAAACTATGTGTTAGGTTCTACACTGTTGTCTCTATCTATGGTCATTTCGCAAGATACAACCTCATACTGTCTACTTCCTAAGTACTGTTAATTGAATTCTATCCAACATTTCGACAAGAAATCGGAGTGAACCATCTCTATGCTTCCTAAAGATATATCTGAACTCGAATTTCGTGAGTGTTTGTGGAATTAAACAGGCCGTATATATAACTTCGAAATTCGAAGTTGCATTGTGCCTAATGGTGTGATCAAAGGAATCGAAACGGGCTGTCAGAACTATTAATTGTTACTAGAGTTAATGATGGATTTTGTCCCAACGTTACGTAACAGTTGATATTCTTACTTTTTAAAAAATACGACTTAAAGCAAACTGTATTTGCGCAAGAAGTTCCTTGTGAAAATAAGACAAGAGATCAGAATGAAAATTCTTTCTAATAAAAAGAACAAAGCAAGTAATAAACAACACAAGTGAAATTGAAAGCACTGTTAAACATTAGAGAATTATGAACAAGAATTTTTCAAATGTTCGGGTGTGTATCCAACACCATTGCACGATATGACTGAAGATCCATCATTCGTGGTTACTTCGAATTTAACCTGCATATAAACAAAATATATTTTGAACATTAAGTACAGAAATATAAATATGGAAAACAAATACGCCGGGATAACAAAATACAAGCTCTTAGGCAAACTGGATTATCTTAAAATAGGTACGATGATATTAATATCAGTACTTAGGAATCGAGATCTTGGACGAGGGTTTTGCAAGTCAGAAATGATGACGCAATTAGAATTTAGTCGAAACTGAAGCATTATATTTTAGTTAGCCATTCTAGAGTAGAATTGTATTTCATCCTGTTTGAGAATAATAAACTGTTACAAGAAGTTGTAGGAAGTATTCCCTGACCAGCAAATGAATGAAAATCTATAAAATAAGATCTATGAATAAAAATTTCTCGTGTTAATGACCAAATTTACTTGATTAGCAATATTTTAATTGGAATAACCATTGTTATGCTTTAAGACAGTGCAACTATTAATGGCATTCTAGTCACAATAAAAAATTAAAGTAGTCACCATCAATTATTTAGATAAATGCCTAACTACCGGGGTTAAATATTGGCCAACAAACGAAAGTTACACTATTAGCCTTAAATTTGAAAGTTTTAGGCATATTATTCACAATACAGTCCCTTCTTTGAAAACTTAGAAATTTACCAGTTAATACGTATGGAAAAAACTTCACAATATCTTAAATGAAAAGTAATAGATTGATGTGATCTTTCGAAAATGATGTAGTTTATATCTATATATTAATTCAAATGTTTATTGGTGAAAGTTAACTGAAACTCACCGAACGGGCATAAAGGAGATATTTTTGTCTAGTTCCTTTCTACTGTCAAAATAAATGGACCATAAGTTTATAGTCTGTTTGTTAAGATATCTTTATATGGCCATGGGTAAAAAAGTATATTCCACACAAAATCAAGCTAATAATGCTTTATCTCGGTAAGACAGATCCAAACAGACAATTACTGGTATTGTATTCTAAGTCCAAACACCGTCCTACCTACTTTATCGTCATGGGTTCCTGAATAGTAATGCTAGTTTACTCTCATTCAAAGTGTCAATCAAAATTTAGCACACAAGTTTAGGCTTGGCAACGTTCGAAATTAATGTCATATTTAATTAGCCAACTGATACAAGTCATATTCATAAGTGTATTATAGAAATAAAAGTACTTACAGTGAAACATATTCATCAACGAAATGAGTATTAAAAGCAAGCTTTACATGATTAATGTGCAGTACTATTAAATAACTTACACCGAGTAAGTGTTCTGCAACATATATTGCAGTCTTTGTATGTAATGTCAACGGCCCGCAACGTATTTCTGAATTTCCCTTAGCTAATGCCATAAGCATTATAAGCTAGAACAAAATAAGACAATTAAACTAATACATTCCCATCAATAATGAGAACTAATGAATTTAGCACGTTAAACTAATTCTTGAAATGAACAGCCAACCATTTTGTGGGAAATTTTCAGATATGATTAATTTTATTAATCAAATAGTGCACTCGAAATCAAAATATACAAAAATCATCATACACCATTTTAATTGAACAGATTTTTTTATTTAGTTTCAGTCGGTCAGTTAGTACGTAGAGCACATAAAAATCGATTCAAGCTGCCATACCCCATTAGCACAGAGAGATAAAATTGTCAGGCCAAATCTCAGAATAGTAGAGGTAGTAGTAACAGTATCCGTTGTAATAGTAATGATTAGGCATGGAAAATACGATTCGAGAAAATATAAATTAGTAAAACAAAAAACGTTGGGAAATTTAGAATTTGGAGGAAGATAAAGAACGGATGTACCTGGGTCCCTGCAAACGGTTTCGATCCATACCACTCAGTCTCCAACCATTGGTTATGATAATCACGCGGACTCCAACCAGGTATTCCACACCTATTATCATGGCTTAATCCAACTCTCAGTGACTTCATAGACTGTTGACATGTTTTGGTTTGGCCGCCCCTAGCTTTCTTCCAGCATACTACTACGCCAGACAAAATCGCCCGTCAAGGTAGGCGAAAGTTGGGCATATGAAACGCATGTCCCAGTCAAGAGTAGAATGCTGTGTTAAGGCCAGAAAATACCACTACAGCTGGGCATGTGTATGTCTACTATCAGGGTTTGTTGTTCTATCTCGTTTCAAGATTACATTTACTATTTTGAATCCTCTTAAGATCTGGTGGACTTGAGTCAATTCCTCACTCAGTTTTTTTGGGAACAGAAGCTAATTGAAGGGAAATTTAGTTGTAGTTAGTGTTCGGGATATTGTTCTTAACTTCTAAATTGAGTGAATAATAGCCTTCTTTTTTGAGAGTCTCACTGACACATGCATTCCATACCTGTTTTCTTGATAAGTAGGCAGAGTTGTGTAGTGTTACCTATCGACTGTCTTTCCCATCCATCTTGGTTTTGTTGTTCAATACTCCTCAATATCGTTGCATAAACTTTTTCTTAGTTTATGCTTTAGTCTCTTTTGTTATTTATCGCTCTCAGAGACTGTCGGGATCATTTATCGGACCTTTATCGATTCAGTGGATGTCATCAGAACTTAATGATTTTTAATAACCTTTTGGTTTAAATTGTTGAGATGTTATTACTGTATTAACAGCTGCCTAGATAACATTTTAGGCTTCTTCAAGGCAATCTGTTTCATTACGATAGACTAAGTGGTTATCCAATATTTCCTCAAACAGATCATTGACTTTTTCATCTCTGAATCGATATCTAAGTGATCCTCCTGTTGTGAGTTTCTAATGTCTACTTTGATGTATAGAAATGCGTTCCATCATTAAGGTAAGAATGGTGTTCAAGATTGAAGCCAATATTTTAGACACTATTAGCTGAACTGATTCCTCTGTGATTGTCATAAGGAGATTTTCGTCCTTTCATAGATCGAGACCAGTCAGATGAGATTATGTTCAGATTCTAGCTACGATTTCAGTTAATCTGACTGCTAAGACTGGACCATCATCCTCTCAGGGGTTAGTCCATAAGGCTCTGATGCCCTTCGTCACCTTAGATCTCCTGTAGCCTTTGCAAACCTACTAAGAGTTGGAAGACATATATCAATTTGTCATTCCTATTGCTCGGAGATAGTGGGTAACTGAAGTATGGCTGAAGGCCAGTTGAACCATTCCCTAAAGTGTTCTGCTCATAGGTCCAATCTCCATGGTTAAGAGTGAATAATAATTCCATGTTTTTCCGAGATACTGTCACTAACAGACCGATTTTTAATATCGTTTCCTTGATAAATCTGAACAGTTGTCAACTTTTACCTATCGCTACTACCTTTTTCATCTCTTCTGTTTTCACTGCTGACCGCGACTCATTCAATTTGCAATGAAACAACAGGAAAAGACCGTTACACAACCGACGACTTGAAAGTAAGTAGAATCACACTAAAAATATTTCGAAGCTTTTGTTTTTTACCATACATGTTACACATATAAACTTTAACCAAATGTATCATTGATGTCAAGTGGATTTATGAATATGGCACTAGATGATAACCAACGGAGTTCATATTTGCCGTACTAGCGCCAAAGCTTCATTGTCGATTGAAATTATTGTGACATTCTCAAAGAATAATTCACTATATAGGTATCTATGTCAAAGTTTAAATTGATAGTTTCAAAAAAAATTGAGCATGGGGTAGAAAGTTAATAATAATATATATTTTTGTCCTATCCCAATGAGTAGGAAAGTTTCGTGACTAAATGTAAGCCACTTCTTCAGAGTCAATAGATAGTCATATTAAATTGACATAAAATATATTTATTGATAAGTTACAACAGATATAAATCCCATTATAGGAGCTCAGATATACAAATATCGAAATAAAGATAAACCTATCTGAAAAACTTTATTGATAGAATGCATATTATTCACCATTAGAATCAGTATTGACTTGATGTTAGAATACATAGTCAGTAACCCTAACAGTACATAGGATATTCTGTGTTTTTATATATGGAGTTGGACTTAGGTGAGAACGAATTCGTTGTCAAAAATCAAAAAAGCGTCAGTAGTTTTAACAGAATAGATGATTCTGAAGTTTATGTATGATAAACACACCTGATCTTGCATATAATCGTCACAACATATTCCAAATTTGGAATAGTTATAAAGTGACTGACAGGATTCTGAGACCATTTGCCTATAATGATGATCTCGAGGATTAATAATTCCAGTAACGGCCAGACGGCAATCTGTTGAAGTATGCATAACGAACCTAGTGTAGACAGACAAAATTTTACATGAATACAAAACAAATGTACCTTAACGCTTGCACATATACACATCCTATAAGGACTAACAACTTGTGCTATGTGCTGAGTACAGAAGAATTTGTTAGGACTGACCTTTCTGTTTAACTATCAGTATAGGGTTATGGAGATAGTTGTGCTGTAATTAAAATCATGAACTGATTAATGTTATACCACTACTGGGAACCTGAAAGCACTAGACAGGCGTCTTGTCCTAGTATAGGACTCATCAGAGGTGCCTACGATTCTGTATATGGGACTCCAACCCAGGACTTTTGGTCTCTAGACTACTGAGTGGACATCCGACGGCGTTAATGTCTAATTTCAATCAATCTATGATATTGAGCGACCACCTCTCTGTTTAAGATCAGATATATTAACGTTAAAATCAAACAGTTTTCTGATATTCATATTGACATTAAATGACTGAGTACCCTCCAATTTGTATCTATAAGGCGCTGTCTTGAATTCATTTGGACAAATTTGAGAAATGCATTAATAATCGGGTTTACTCTAGCGTAATATAAGTTCACGTTAAACTTCAGGTTGAAATCGACGATGCAACTTGCTGACGATTGCCAAATAACTTGAACCCTGGGTTTACGGTTCTCTGTTGATTACTTTCAACCACCTAACGACAAAACATAGTTCACACAATGCGGAGTAGTCAATGAGACTAGTGATCACACTGCAATCTGATCGATAGAATGCGATCAGCACTAAAAGACAAGATAAATATGACACTGGTCAGCAATCAGTGATCGATCAATGGTGAAAATGTGTCATTGTCACGGATCAGTTGCTGCTCGGGTAACTCAGTAGTAACATCTCAGACTGAGTTGGGTGACGTAGGACCAGACCTGCCGGGCAGCACAATTCTTTCAAAGACTACAGGTACATTCCGTTGACGAGTGCCAAGTAGCATGAAACTTTAAAGTAGGGCTTCCTGCCAACTACCTCCAACCACACAACTTTGTTGAAAAATTAGTCAGTATGTTTTGAAATGATCAGATCAGCAATTTCATCGAAAATTCACCTCCAATTACTGAAAAGCACTTTTCATGTTCTTTGTTTCTATGACTAAATGAGGCACCGAAAATCAAAACTGAGATATAATTACCAAACTGAAACTAAAGAATAAAACAACCAGATTTATAAGAAGTATTTCAGCACCAAACATGTTGGATCTATGTAGTTTACTAAACGTGAGATATACACGATGTCTTATCCGACAGACACAATCGACACACAGCCTGGGAAAGATGTGCATTTGATCAGGTTGTTATACCTAATTAGCATGAGATGGAAATAAAGAGATTGAAATAATGTAGTAGCAATGATAGGAAGTCTAAACTTCAGGAATATAATTTGGAAAGATAGAGTAAAGAGTATACTTGGAGAAATACTGGAATTCTAGATCGGAAAGATAGAGTGAATGTGCCGTTGACAATGATTCTGATGTATCATCCAGTATCAAACCACTGACTGCGGTCATAGCGGGTACCCCAACCAAGTTGTATGCATCTACTTGCATGTCTCAATGATCTTAGGAATTAATGACAAGTTCCGATTTGGTCGCTCCTAGATATCTTCCAACATGCTTTTGAGCTAGCAACCATTGGTCATCGAGGTAGACGGTGGTTAGACATACTCGACATGTCGTAACCACCTTAGTCCCTGAAGATCCATTACCTTTTCAACCGATTTCCTACCTATGCCGAATATCCTATACCTCACCTCAACATCGCACACTCAGTTGTTCAAACAACCTGAGCAACGTTCCAAACAAACCTGTGATCAAAAACCTTTAGCCTACACTTGCCTTCTACTTTCACAGACCACGTTTCACAGCCACAAAGTAGAGCACAGTAAATTGCTGCTCAGTATAACACCCTTTTGTTGGCATACGCCAAAGGAACTCGCCGAGATTTTGTCAGAAACCAACTCTTAAGGGCTGATCATACTTTCAGGATAAGTGAAGTGGTCGATATACTCAATTACTTCACTCGTCATTGGCTCAGACGTTAACCCCGATCAGTCGTGAAGCAATATTTTCCATTTAGAAGAGGGGGATCGCATTTAGAACAAACTTGCGTTGTTCCTTAAAAGGGTATTTAAAAGACTATACTTTGTCAGCCTTGGCCGAATAGGAATGAGTCGTCTATATACTTTATGTCTATAAGAAAACCTGGTAGGAGAGTGATCCTTGAGAAGTTAGCAGAAAATGTTATTTCAAGGAGGATATCGATGATCAGATCAAACGAAATGGGACAGCCAGCAGCCTTAACGAAGATTAATTAAGGTGGGGAGTTCGCTCTAAGCTTTAACTCCCAGTCAGTCACTCCGTGGAACCTGGTACATATGTACTGCTCAGTGTGATAGATAAATGAACACATCAATGACAAAACTAACCCACCACCACCACATCAACATTTTCTGACTTTGTATGACTATGCCTTGTTTAGTTTATTACCAATCAGAATTTTTATGTTTATCACAAACGATATTAGGTTTCTTGACACGTTTTCCCTATCCTCTTGGGACAGTCAGCTCTCCATCTCCAAATGATTTCACATGGTCATGAGTATATAGCCACTGCCTTCATGTGTTGTTTACGAAATTAAGAGGACGAAAAGCGAATATTCAGCGTTTTAACCGGGTTGGTGGATTATGGAGGACCCACCTACGGGAGTTAGAAAACTCTGCTTCCAAACCAATGGTGCACATGGGGTTCAGGATCCTCGGGGAACAAATGGCGTACGAACCAATTATTGGTCACTGGCTACCACGGGACTGCATCAGACCTTTAGGTCAAAGGCTTCGGGTGTGGCCCCTTAAGGAAACCATCTGCTTCGGTCTGTGCACCCGGACAGTATCACAGCCCACATACAAATAAAGTGACTTGTGTGGCACATATGTATTCGGTGACCCTTTGTGCCAATATTTGTGTCCAAATAAATAAATAAATCCTTTGGCTACTGTTTGGTATGTTACTTATGTCTCTCCATGTTTAATAGACTGTGTTAATTATTTATTTTGTATACTGACAGTTAATTTACGTTTTAAAAACAGATCAAGTTTATCAAGCCAAATAGCTTACTTGTTATGCTTTGGCTACGTTAGGATTCTGTGCTCGATAGTTTAGTGAATAGTTTAGAACTGCATCTGTAGGAAATTACTTGCTACATGAACATTGATCCAAGTTGCCATACCCCATTAGCACAGAGAGATAAAATTGTCAGGCCAAATCTCAGAATAGTAGAGGTAGTAGTAACAGTATCCGTTGTAATAGTAATGATTAGGCATGGAAAATACGATTCGAGAAAATATAAATTAGTAAAACAAAAAACGTTGGGAAATTTAGAATTTGGAGGAAGATAAAGAACGGATGTACCTGGGTCCCTGCAAACGGTTTCGATCCATACCACTCAGTCTCCAACCATTGGTTATGATAATCACGCGGACTCCAACCAGGTATTCCACACCTATTATCATGGCTTAATCCAACTCTCAGTGACTTCATAGACTGTTGACATGTTTTGGTTTGGCCGCCCCTAGCTTTCTTCCAGCATACTACTACGCCAGACAAAATCGCCCGTCGAGGTAGGCGAAAGTTGGGCATATGAAACGCATGTCCCAGTCAAGAGTAGAATGCTGTGTTAAGGCCAGAAAATACCACTACAGCTGGGCATGTGTATGTCTACTATCAGGGTTTGTTGTTCTATCTCGTTTCAAGATTACATTTACTATTTTGAATCCTCTTAAGATCTGGTGGACTTGAGTCAATTCCTCACTCAGTTTTTTTGGGAACAGAAGCTAATTGAAGGGAAATTTAGTTGTAGTTAGTGTTCGGGATATTGTTCTTAACTTCTAAATTGAGTGAATAATAGCCTTCTTTTTTGAGAGTCTCACTGACACATGCATTCCATACCTGTTTTCTTGATAAGTAGGCAGAGTTGTGTAGTGTTACCTATCGACTGTCTTTCCCATCCATCTTGGTTTTGTTGTTCAATACTCCTCAATATCGTTGCATAAACTTTTTCTTAGTTTATGCTTTAGTCTCTTTTGTTATTTATCGCTCTCAGAGACTGTCGGGATCATTTATCGGACCTTTATCGATTCAGTGGATGTCATCAGAACTTAATGATTTTTAATAACCTTTTGGTTTAAATTGTTGAGATGTTATTACTGTATTAACAGCTGCCTAGATAACATTTTAGGCTTCTTCAAGGCAATCTGTTTCATTACGATAGACTAAGTGGTTATCCAATATTTCCTCAAACAGATCATTGACTTTTTCATCTCTGAATCGATATCTAAGTGATCCTCCTGTTGTGAGTTTCTAATGTCTACTTTGATGTATAGAAATGCGTTCCATCATTAAGGTAAGAATGGTGTTCAAGATTGTAATCTAATGTAAGCACTAGTCATTCATTGAGCCTCTCCAACGATGCTTAACGAAAATATGGTCCATTTGTGTTTATTGTCACGCTGGTGTCGGCAGGCGCCAGGTTAGAAACCGGCTTTCCTGATGCCTTCAAATTTGCACTTGCTAGGAATAATCGGTCGTCTGAGCGACATTGAAACAGACGGTCACTGTTATCTGTTCGGCAGGATGTGACACATACGACTGAGTGTTTTCTAGTTTAACTTATTCGACCTATTTGAGCTCTTAAATCCCCTACTACGTCTATGCTTCTGACTTTCCGGAAGAGATCATGAAGTTTCCTGTAAAACTTGTCATTTACTCAACCTGAGCTGCATTTAGTAGAGGCATGAACAGAAACGACGGAAAGGTGTGTCGAAACCTTTCTCAATTTTTAATGCACAATTGAGACGGACAACGCAAGAAACTTTCGAAATTAATCTAGTCGAGAAGCGCCTATCCTGTCTTCATACTTGGTGCTATACCTACAGAGGCATGACCAAGACAAGTCGGTCGCGTCTTCAGATACACGAAAGGTAAGTTTCGTTGGATCATTATGTCGACTAATTAAGGTTGAGTGAATGAACATGCTGGGATTCTGTATACATGCTTCTAGAACACGGTATATATTAATAGCACGAGAGTCTACAGTCATGGTTAGTGACTCTAGTTGTCCAATTCAATACAAGGTTCAGGCATTACAAGCTCTTGTACATAATTTGAGACGAAGTTTCAGGAGACCAGTGATAACATTTTGTGACAGTTAGTATTGGTAGCACATGTTGAAGTCGAAGACATGAAGGTTGATAGTAGAAGCAGGGGCAATATTTGATAGTGGGGTTTGATCGTAAACGAGGTGATCTTGTGAGTTGTCAGAGTCCACACTGGAATTGTAACTATCATATCCAATAAGCATCATTAACATAAAGCTTGTGAACATGTTATTGTTGCTCTTACTAACATTAACATGGAAACAACAATATTACTATGTATTCACAACAGGTAGGCAACATAAGTAATAATAGAATTATTAAAAATGAATGTCTAGCAAATTACACAAAATAAAAAATTTAGTGACGCACATAAATGCCGCAACGTTGCCCTTACAACGATCACTGCTTTCTTGGAATGAATCAATATTTATAGGACATGAGAAACATTTGCTGAGACAACGCAACGCCTGATCTTTCACTTCATGAGCAACCTAAATTGATAAGATCGAAAACAAAAATAGTTCAAAGAATGCTGTATCAAGATACAATCAAACTCCGTAAGATTAATTTTATTGAGTAAATAACGTCAGAATATTTGAATGCACAGCTTTCATGTGGTCTGGAAAAGTAAACGCTATTTTGCAGTAAAAATTACATTACTAACAATGCTACTAAGTACTTGTGCAAATGTAGTAGAACGTTTTGGTAGGACGAACACCTAAACACTTTAAGTTACGCACCTGATTTCACGTTAAAAAGACGTAAAGTGGTGACGATTTAAATGGCATACCTTGGGCATTTAAACGAACAAGTAATCCTGTAAACTGGTCTCAAACTATAAATCGACTTGTTATGCGAAAATGATTTTCAAGGAGTGACATAAATGAACTAATATGTGCTACACATTCAATGTATTATTTGATGAACTATGCAAAGTCTGCGCTTACGAATAACAACACTTATAAAAATACAAACAACCACTACTACGTGGACGACTGTCACTAGCAGTAGATCTCCAGGTCACGTTACAATGCTAGATGAGGATTCTAGGTAATTTATAGTCACCATGAAACCTATATGGGTCAGAAATTAAATACAAGTTTTAGAAATCATTAGTTGTCACCAAGCACAAGTAATACACCACAAACTCTATTATCTAGGGGATCAAGGACTACCCACAGGGTTGTTATTACGGTTATTACAGATATTACGCGGAATATTTAAAAGTGCATATTTCAAATGAACAAAAATTAACCACACACGTACCAAACAGGTCATTTTGAAAGTGAAAACTAAGTTACTTTAGGTTTTTTAACAACAAGTGACATTACCTTTAGTGGAACTCTTCCTGCAACAAGAGAATAACCACTGACTTTCTCAACGGTTCCTGAATTTAACAAAGAAATGGGAGAAAGTGGCTCTTTTAAAGGTGAAATCAGTACTTTGACAACCCCTCCACCTAATGGATGAAACCCTCTGCCTTCATAATCAACGATTAATAAGCACTCACCGTCGAACGACTTTTACCTCACAAACCAAACCCATTTTTCTAAAGTAATGTGATGTTACCTGACAAACTTTAGTCTTTGTATTTTTATAAGTTACCTCAATCATATAGTTGATCGGAGGTGCAAACAATGTATCTGTACCACCACGCAACAACAGTTCACTCTGATTGGAAGCAAACGCTAACACTGGCGCTACAGCTTGTAGCATCAGTGAGACTGACCTTACATAAAGCTTGTAAATAGTTTTACTGACATACCCTGCCGTCTTAGCATCAGCTTCATACGAACCGGGAGAAATCTGACCAGGTATTAACCGAATTTCCGTAGATCCAACTGCACACGACGATAAATGACCACAACACACTCTACTAGCGAGTTCGAGAGCAGCTGCGTGTTGACTTCTGGGAACAAAATCTACCATTAACAAAAATAACCACCTGAGACCTGGATTCTGTCGACCAGCTCGAATATTACACACCTCGATGGGTCTTTTCGTTATCACTGCTATCGAGACAGCGTTACGTAGGATTTGACCGCCCTATGCGAACATGATTTTCAAACTTTAAATGTACATACACTCTCCAACACAGACCCATCAACCAAGGTTACATGGGAGCTATCCAAATCACCCATCACACTTGAAAACAAACCTATGAATTTCGGTCTTAGGCACTTTGCGTCTAGACTGACGGCACTTTGTGTGTTGGGGGATATTGTAGACCAGCGTGTGTGAGGAAAGCTGAAAAAAGAGGAAGTAAGCCGAAGGATCTGGGGAAAAATAGCATGCACCTACATCTAGGAATGGAAGCAGTTAGTAGAAGTCAGTAACAACAACTACAACAACCCGATATACACGCGCCGTAGCATTTGATTTCGAATTCGTAGGAAACTAATATTTTGTACGCTACTCGAGCAACAAGAATTCCGATATTAATCTGAAAAAAATAAAGAATAAAACCCTCTTAAATTTAAGATCATAAGAGAAAATCACCAAAGGTGGTTTACATTAAACGAAAAAATATACACTAAAACGGCGAAAAACCTCATGGAGTTATCGAACAGATATATTTTGCATTCAATAAATACCGAAAATATATTGTTTTGCTAGTCTTCGACATTCGATATTGACCTCATCAGTTTTACTGGACACGTTTAGCTGAAGGCACTCGGTCACACATCAGAATTAAATCACGTAGGGCTCACCAATGAAGATGGCACAGGTATCAGTGTTTGACAACGCTTTTACCAGTAGCACCTAATATAACTCGTACCCACCAAGAGAAATCAAAAGATGGAATCGAGGAGATCAGAAGTTGTATTTGACGATTGCGAATATATCGGAATTCTCTGATCTAATCTGGCTAGCGATTGCGGTAGATGTTGAGCACATTGTTACCACACGTGATCTGGTGCGGATGCATGACCGAGCGCCTTCAGCTAGGTGAGTCCACTAAAACTAATCTGGTCAGCATCCAATGTCGAAAACTTACAGGGCTATTTATTTTGGGGATTTATTTGCCGCTACACCGTACTACGCATCTCTTGCGATCGTTAGCCAGCTTAGTTAAACACTTCCCGATATATCGATATCCTTTCAATTATGCATTCGAACCTTTTAATTCTGGACTTCCGAATCGACTGTGTTGGCACACTTCTATCATAAAGGTGTTACCTGTAAAGATTATGTCAAACTCCGAATGTTTGTTTCATCCTTAGTATATTTGACATCGTCACGTCGACGAAGTGTAGCGTAGACCAAAGTCACTTAATTTATTCCTCTCATTTGGTTGACGACTTATGCTTGCTACGTATTGTTTTCATTAGAGAATCTATCGGAGTTGTAACGCACGGTATGTTTGCACATTTCGTCCTCCATGTACGGGAGCATTACTATGGACAATTTCTTATCAGGTTGAAATGGTATTGCAGTTCCTGAAAGCTTTAGATTAGTCGCAGTGTTTTTGTGAATAATACCAATGAAGTCCTAAGTCCCTTTTTTTGCTTATTTATTGTTACTTTAGTTACATATTTGTACCTAATAGGTTCCAGTTTTTAGTGAGGAAGCAATGCATTTTGTCATTTATGGTTAATTCGTATTCACTTATAGTTGATTTATGTAATATCTAGGATTAATTACGCATATTTATCTCTCTTAAGCAAGAGGCCTACCCAGATGAAAAGATAACCAGGATACTTAGGAGAAGTATACTTGACTTTTGGAGGACTGAGTCTGTTCAGTTAAACAATAGTCAATGACGAAAGTCGTGAGCCATAAATGTCTATCGAATTGAGTTGTTTGATTCGTAGACGTAAACAAATCTCCCTAAATAAATAGTTCTGTAAGTCTTCGACGCTGATGCTAACTTGAATAATTTTACTAGACATACCTTCGTTGAAGGCGCTCCGTCATTCATCCGTACCAGGTCACGAGAAGGTACTGCGCGTCTTTGACAACTACCAGCCAGCCAAGAATAAACACTTCCCAACATACGGACAACCTAAGAAATACATCTTCTAACCCATTTATCCATGACTTCTGATTTCACTGGGTTGATATCCCTCAACCATAAAGGTGTTACGGACATACCCACTGTTGGACCTCGAATATCTATAATACTTTTTAATTTTCAGCCTTCTCTTGCCGGCTTAAGCTTGCAGACAAGAAGCAAGACAGTTTCAGGACATGTAGTATAAATAGCACCCGGTGCCATGTGCAGCCTGTACAGTACGAAAATATAAGAAGGACATGTTCATGCTGAATAATATCACTCATTATTCCCCCTCACCCTAAGGTGTCAGTTCTTTATCTTACTACCAAATCACTCCTGCGAGAACATATATTTGGCACAAAAGACGAACGAGACTTGACAAATGCCCGAAAAATTGTCTTGTGGCCGGCATCGCTAAATTATGGAACTTCTTACCAGAGGCGATAGTAACGACACCTTCTACACAGTCCAAAAAAGCTTGTTAGATTAAGGTCCAGGTTGGTATTAGTGAACTTATTCATGCTACTAGAATAAAATACCTTGTCGAAAATTCTGGACTTGCAATGATGTGAATACACAGTCTATCAGATCTTACGTGCGAGTCACATCATTTTCTATACCAGCTCACCCCATCAAATAGTCCGCAACAAATAGTCTGTTAATTCCAACTAGCGAATTTCAAAAGTTTGTTATGTAGTGAGTATACGCAATGTACACTATTATAATGCCTTCGCAGATGGATTAATGGAACACATCTGACAAAAGAATATGTGAACGGACGTCATACAAGTGAGTCACAATTTATGTCAATGAATATTCTTTCTAGTGTCCTTTGGAATTGTGCTTCACTGCAATATGAGAGCTATTAACTGCTAGCCGAGGGACATAAACTATAAAGTAAAAATTAATCGACCATAAAGAACCTCATTTGAGGTTATTTTATTACTCCCCAACACAAGAATGAAGAGTCTAAACGACAATATAGTACGAATGTTAAATTGATATTCCTCTATCATTTAAAGTTTCAGTGGCCGAAATTATATTTTTGATTTTTCTTCAACTCACTATTGTTAACTGTTATAATAAAATCACGATATAACTACGATCATTCAACATATAAGCAGCCCCATAGTATCTAGTTCATATTTAATAAGTTATACCTACAGCTGGTAAAGAAGCTGCTTACCCTAGTTTTAGAACTTCCTCATGCCAGCTGGTAGGCTGTATTAGACATAGATAATCTACCCGAACCCCAACTACTAACCACTTGTTCTAAAAGGCATAAGAGAGGTAAGGCGCATAAGTAGAGTTAGGTAAGAATTAGTTACTGCTTTTCTAATTCGTGACACAGACTCGGTACAATATGTATACTAAAAACGAGGCACAATGACTAGACTTAGTGTGAAGCGTGATTACTTGTATACCTTCAAAACAAGCATGAACTTTCTTGGTAGTAATCCCTCAAAGGGTCCAAGAATACATTTTTACTTCCATCTCAGATTGTTGAATAAAATAACCATAAATTGGGCAAGCAATAAACTTTAATGGAGTGAGTCATTTTACATTCTTCTGCTAATGATCTGGTATAGTCTAATGTTTTCTAACTAATTCAAAAAGTTTGAGGTAAAAAATTATTAGCGGTATATCATTTGCAGCTGTAGCGTAATTGACTTTTCGATTAATGAGCTAGTTCTGAATTTAGTTGGTCTTGTATTTGTTTTACCCAAGCTGTGAAATCAGTTTTATTGCAATTTTGGTATTGAACTTGTTTAATTGTCGTGCAGTTTGAGACCAAAATTTTAAATGTTCAAGATATTTATCAAAGTGACCCGGAAATACAATCAAATTTAGTCTGATGGTAAGGTCAATAGATGGAGATTATAAATAACCTAAAAGATAAGTGCATTTCATTGACTAAGAAACGGGTCAATTTCCTAAAGATTAGAGTGATATATATATATATATATATATATATATGAATGAGTATTTGTGCATTCTGTTCGGTAACCCAACTTCGCTTAATAGGTTTTTTCGGTGAAATCCTCAGGACTGTTGGAAAAACGTTTTTTTCTTCCAGAATATCTTCACAAAATTTACCCAGAACTTTCGAGAACCTTGAAGTAATCCATCTATGTTCTTTGACTAAACCCTAGTAGTTTTTCACATTTCGGGCACATTACTCATAACTTTCTAAAAGATCATGGAAACCCAATTACGTTCTTCGGGAAAACCTCAACATTACCCATTTTTGCAGGAAAGCATATGAACTCAAACCAATTGGTCTCGCTTCGTATAGAGGAATCACAAGCAAACCTGGCCAGTTACGCTAAATAGGAGTCAACTCATCAATCTATAAACCTTACAATAATTTCTATGAAAAAGCCAGTTGTGTATCCAAACAATGTTTTCTTTACTAAATAATAAAAGGAAACTCAGTCTCTCGAATTCGGGGAATGGTTTGTCGGTTTTGGGTGCAGATTTCAGAGGTATTCAGTGTTTGACAACGCTTTTACCAGTGTCCAGAATCTGCAGTTCCTCTTCTGATGACAAAGGGAACTGCTGGCTTGATAGTCCGTAATCGGATTGATGCGGATGTACGCGTTCACTGAACTTCGCTAGTAGCAGTTTTACATTTGTACTCAAGTCAGTAATAGCTGACGACATTTTCTGCATCATTGTTTACAACCTATCAAATCTGATAAACTTCACTTGATCGTACAAGTGACTTACTGGGCCGCTGAAGCACAGCCTGCATGCTTAGATTCTAATGTTGATGGTGATGTATCTAGTTGTGTCGAACTACTTCATTAGCATCTAAGTAGTAATGAAACCTGGCAATTGGCGAGTCGACTCTGTAAAACAACCAAAATTTCTGATATTGTACGTGGCTATTACCAGCCTGCATCTCGGCAACATCCATGTCTACTGAATTGTAAATAAATCCTCCTTTAGGCTTCAGTGCACCTCTAGAAAATGTCAGTAAGATTATTTCACTGACCTCTTGGGCTTCTCAGTGTTGGGTGGCAAGATGTTTTCTTCCGCTGAAGTGTTTTTACGGTGAAGTTCTGGTATTTGGAGGGAAACTAACATATTCTTTGCAGACTGGAGAGAGTCTATAGTAAATTATAGTTTCTGTGTTTGTTACCCACCGATTTCATGAATTGCTTTACATTTCAAAACTAACCAATTGTCATCTGGTCGGTCGCAGTTTTGCAGGTGGATATTGACCAGTGTAGTGGTGAATAAATCCCTAAAATAAATAGCCCTGTAAGTTTTTGACATTGGATGCTGACCATATATTTTAGTGGACTCATCTAGCTGAAGGCGCTCGGTCATGCATCCGCACCAGATCACGTGTGGTAACGATGTGCTCAACATCTACCGCAATCGCTAGCCAGATTAGATCAGAGAATTCCGATATATTCGCAATCGTCAAATACAACTTCTGATCTCCTCGATTCCATCTTTTGATTTCTCTTGGTGGGTACGAATTATATTAGAAGGTGTTGCTGGTAAAAGCGTTGTCAAACACTGAATACCTGTTTCATCTTCACCAGCTCCATTGGAAAAAGGGAAAGTTCTTTGCTAACAATCCACTGCTAGGGACGTCAACAATGACGTATTGTTTGTTAGCGAACTAAACATAAAATAAGAGGTAATGGAGTGGTTTATGATCATGAATTAAGCAGAAATGAAACAAAATACATTCACATAAAAGTATGCAACAATGGGACTATAACTAAACAATTGATAGAATTAATGGCTATACATTTACAGTCAATGTCCCTGTATCACTGGATGGGAAACAATCTTCGAAGTAATTGCGTGGGTCAGTGAAAGACCTAAATTTCAGTAGCCCATCCTCCCCTATATCAGTGACTAAACCAGGCTGTTCGTTTACTACTACAACATTATCAGGCTTAAACGAAGT